CAGATTACTTTTGATTGGAAAGGGGCATTAGGCAACAGTCTGAGTGAGGGACAGAGCTCTGGATCATCTGATTGGTCCTCCTCCAATGTTAAGTATACCCCTTTTAAGAGAACTAATTATTCAGCTGCTCCAATTTGTGTTTGGCTGCCCTTTATTTGGGTTGTGAGTAATGATACCTTAGGTAAGAATCAGAAAGAAATAAATTGCTCTGCTTAGAATTGTTTTTATGCATTATGCTGGGATGCTATTAAGCACCCTTTTGCTTTGGTAATGCGCATGCCTCGATTTGTTCCAGTTCCTGTTGAGGTGCCAAGTAGTTTGAGTTTGTTTAGGGAAAAGCGAGATTTTTGGGATCTCTGCTATTATTGTGGGCCTGATAGCTGCCGCCGCGGTTACTGCTTCGGTTACCGCCTCGGCCCTTGCACTTTCCGCCACTGTGCAGACAACTCAAACCATTAATGAACTATCAGCCACTGTGACCATGGCCCTAGATAAACAGGCCACTGCCAATTCTCAGATACAAGGAGGCCTGATGTTGGTAAACCAACAGATTAATTTGGTTCAGGAACAATTGGATATATTGTGGCAGATGGCCCAATTGGGATGTGAACAAAAGTTGCCTGGCCTTTGTGTCACTTCAGTACAATATGAGAATTTTACAAGAGCAGCTAACCTGTCAAAAGCTCTGTCTCAACATTTATTACAGAATTGGACTTTTGAGTTTGAGCAGACACTCCGTGAGTTGAGAGTGGCGATCCTGCAAGTGAATTCCACGCGTCTGGATCTTTCTCTGATGGAAGGCCTCTCCTCCTGGATTTCATCTGCATTTTCTTATTTTAAGGAATGGGTGGGGGTGGGATCATTTAGCCTAGTTCTCTGCTGTGGAATAGTGTTGATGCTTTGGATGGTGTGTAAGCTCAGAGCCCAAACAAAAGAGACAAAGTGATGGTGGCACAAGCACTTGCTGCCTTAGAACACGGAGCCTCCCTGACATTTGGTTAACCATGTTAAAGCAATAGGTCGCTGGCCTCCTGGCTCTTGCACCCCACGAGGCTAGTCTCATTGCACGGGATAGAGTGGGTAGGCTTCAGCAGCCCAAGGAGTTGCAAGGCTAAGCACTGCACAGGAGAGGTCTGCGGTATAACGACTTTCTCCTGGGAGATAAGTCATCTTGCATGAAGGTTCTATGTCATGATCTCCTTCCCCCAGAAAAACGACATCGGGACTGGTCAGGGCTCCCTCTGGGGATAAGACCCTGGAGAGGAGCTTTGTACATGTTCCAAATTTGCACATGGGGATTTGACCTCTATCTCCACTCCAAAGTTGTGGGTGTCCTATGGCTTCAAAAATAAATGAATAGGGGGAGATGTGAGGAGCCGCCCTCACTATCGCTATCGCCATTAGAAGATGGCGCTGACATCTGCTGTCAGTTGGAGTTTACCGTTTAAGCTGTGCCTCACCCGTCATCTGGGGTGATGAGCAAACCACCAATCCCGGCTCTACACGTCTCACTCGGAGCTCCTAGGCTTATATAAGGGGCTGGGTTTCTTAGCTTGGGGTCTCCCTCTCAGAAGCTGATCATCTATCTCTCAAGATGTATTAAAGCTTTACTGCAGAAGGATCCGAGTGTCCTGCGTCGTTCTTGCTGGCGAGACGGTAGCGCGGGACAGTCACCCCTTGGGGAACACTGCTGTTGCCACCATGTCTGACTGGGTTCTTTCCTGACAGAACCCCAACAGAGGGAGAAGCCTCTGTGATGTGGATGTCTCCCCAGTCTCAGATGGCAGTGTGTTTTGGAGGTCAGAGCTAAGCAGGAAGCAGGAAAGTCATAAAGATGGGCCCCATGATCGCTTTAATGTCTTTGTGAGAAGAGGAAGGAACCGAAGCTACCAGGCTTGGTCTGTCTCTCAGTGTGGTGTTTTCAGAGGGGATGTGACACACCAGGGACAGACTCCACATTTGGGGTTCCCAGCCTATAGCATCATGAGCTTATATACTTCTAAGTTTTATGAAGTTCCGGGTGGTAATCTTATACACAGCAACAGAAAATACACTTAATCTTTATTTACTTAAAATAGATTTATTTCATTGTTTATTTTTATGTGTACCCATCTGAGATCCTGGGCACGGTGTCACCCCATTTAGGGGAGACCTTTCCCTCTTCTTCCCAGGAAACTTCCTTAGAGACACACTTAAAATTTGCCTCGCTGGGCAATGGTGGCGCACGCCTTTAATCCCAGCACTCGGGAGGCAGAGGCAAGCGGATCACTGTGAGTTCGAGGCCAGGCTTGACCGACAGCCTCGAAAACAATACAGAGAAACCCTGTCTCGTAAAAAATTAAAAAAATAAAAAATAAAATTTGCCTCACTATTGCTGAAACAGGTTCATTTTCTTCCTTGTTATTATTTTACTTTATATTTAATTATATGTGTGTGGGAGCCCACATGAGTGCAGGTTGCCACTGAGGCCAGAGGGAAAGGAGATCCTCAGGAGCTGGGATTCCAAGCGGTTCTGAGTCTCCCCCATGTGGGGGTGGGAACCAAACTCAGGTCTTCAGAAGAGCAGCATGCTACATTCTTAACCACTGAGCCATCTCTCCAGACACCAGATTCTTATTGATGGAAAGGGTGTGTGTAGGCAGATACCACCACACAGCTGTGGAGACCCGAGGGTATCTAGTTCTCCCCTCCCACCTGTATGTGGGCTCTGGGGATCGAACTCAGGCTGTGAGACTTGTGTGCCTGGAATATGTTCACCCATCCTACCCACTCTTCTTCTCCTTTTCTTTTTAAAATAATGTTTTTAGTAAACATTTAAGAATTTCACAGATTTTATTTGATCACATTCACCCCCACCTTCTCCCAGATCCACCTCCCACCTCCTGTGCACCCATGTTGTTGCCCTCTCTCTTTTAAAGTCATCAAGTCCCATTTGTGCCATCCAAACCTTGGATGTGTGTTCTTCCACAGGAGTGTGGTCCACCTACCAGGTTTCACACCCTCATAGAAAACTGACTGTCCCCTCTCCCCTGAAAGTTTCCCCTGCCTGTTTCATCTTACTGACCCTCACCCTCTGTGGGAACTCTAACTGAAACACAAATATCTACATATTCAAAGGCACATCCACAACAGAGATAAAGCATGTGATGTTTGTCTTTCTGAGTCCAGGTTACCTCATTCCAGATTATTGTTACAGCTCCATCCATTTCCCTGCTTTTTTTTATTTTGAGTGTCAAAGGCTGATCTACAACTATGTACCCAAGGATGACCTTGAACTTCCAAACCTCCTGTCTCCACCTCCTAAATGTGCCACTAAACCCAATTTATGCAGTACTGGGAATAGAACCCAGGGTTTCACACATATTAACAAGCTCTCTACCAACTGATCTATACCTCCAGTACCCTACAAATTGCATTTATTATTATTTTAATGTGAAGGGTATGTATTCATGTGTATCCATATCTGTGTGTGCGTGTAACTTTGTGTGGGTGTTGTGGGTCCAAAGTTGGGTCTGTATTCTTTTGCAGAAGGTACTTTATAGACTGAGCCCTCTTCACAGCTCCTCCCCCAGGCATGTCAGTGGAGAATCAAGTGGAACCCAATCAAGCATCACTGTAACTGAATGTTTTTTTGTTTATTCTCAGTAGTTATAATGGATATTAAACTGTAATTTCATACTTTGTCAAATCTCTTACACACATGTGCTGATTATGAATATCCTAAATTAGGATATGCCTTAAATTTACTAATAACCAGACAGTGTTGAAGAAACTAGTCACACCTGTAGGAATAAATATATTTGCTTTCTTTTTGAACATTCTAAAAAACAAGACAAAAACCACCATCTTAATAAGGCTACGACATTTTCATTGAATATAATATAAAGAACCTGAATGATAAGAGACCATTATCTTAGTTTAACAGGAGCCATATTCTTCTTGTGTACACAAGTGTGCATCTTTCAGGCTATGCTGTTTCACACTTTAAAAAAAATACAGTGTGCCACCCCTACATGGTATGTATTCTGATAACCCTCCCTATGAGAAAGCAGTACTTTCATTTGTTTGTTTGTTTGTTTGTTTTTTTGAGACAGGGTTTCTCTGTATTGTTTTGGAGGCTGTCCTGGAACTCGCTATAAACCAGGCTCACCTGGAACTCACAGAGATCCTCCTGCCTCTACCTCCCGAGTGCTGGGATTGAAGGCATGCACCACCAACGCCCAGCAAAAACAGTACTTTCTTTGTGTGTGTATGTATGTGACAGAGAGAGAGAAAGACAGACAGACAGACAGACAGACAGACAGACAGAAAGACAGACAGAGAAACAAAGATAAAACCTATATAGACTTGTAGCACTGGCTGGCTTCTAACTTGCAGTGATACTCCTGTCTCTACTTCCTGTGTGCTTTCATTATAGGTATATATGACCACACTTGGTATCAAAATACGCATTAAGTTCTCCCAAGACTTTTCATAGTCTACTTATTATTCATAATTTTCATTTCTATGAGAGTTTCAAAGCATTGCTGAGAAAAATCCAACATGTTCTATGCCACAATAAGTTTTCTCATCTGGCTAGGATTTGAGCATTGATTTTGGTGTAGAATTACAGAGTCATCTCAAAGTGATGCATTACAATATTTTGCAAACTAAAACTTGAATATATGTGGTGATATATTAAAACTTGAATAAATGTGGTGATATATTGTTTACGATCTAATAAACTTGCCTAGAGATCAGAATACAAAGCTAGCCACAGCCATAGAAACTTTAATCCCAGGACTCAGGAAACAAAGACAGATGGATTTCTATGAGTTCAAGGCCACCAAGGGCTACATGAGAGTGAATGAGTCTAAAAGAGAAGCAGAGCTCATGCCTTTAATCCCAGTACTAGGGAGGTATATAAGATAGGAGCTTGGTCTTAGATTCTGGTAATTAGTCTCCAGCCACATTGAGGACAGGATCCCTCCCCTAAGCCTTGTTAGAGGTAAGAGCTCTCTGGTGACTTCGCTGCTTTGCTTTTCTGATCTTCAGCTTGAACTCCAGTATATGTCTCCGAGTTTTTGTTTTTCATGTTACAAACAAAACATTCATACATTGCACAGCTTCTAGACACTTCTCCAGATATGTTGACTACTGGAGAATAGAGCTTATTTCATTGTCTTCTTTCAGCTTATATTCGTAGAACATCTACTCATGGCAGAATTAAAACAGATGTTGTGAGTACTAAGATGGCATTCTGCAATACAGACATTTTTGTCCTTTGGGTGTTTTTTATATATTTTCTCAGTAGGTAGATAGGCAGGGGACAGATAGGCCAATATAGTGGAGTGTGCTGAATCCTAAAAGCAGCAATCTATAACAATGGCAGGTACAACTAAATCCCAGGTCCCTAGTCCTCCACCCATCCTGTTCCCTTCTCTTTTCTAGAGCAACTGATGTTTCTACTCCTCTGGAGTGAGTCTTCTACCTGCAGGCCTGACTTTAGCGTAGCAACTATTCCATTATGACCATGCACATCCTCTTCATTGGTGCCTTTCTCTTCCTACAAACTATGCTGACATCCACAGGCAGAATGCCTTTGCATTGTTAATAAATTAGTATGCTCATTCCTGCTCAGTTCTGCTGTGTCTCACTCCCCCTCTAGAACCGGAAGTAGAATTTTCCTTAGATCAAAAAAAATGGGCAAACACTAGTTAGGATATGAACTGAGATAGGCACTGGTGTGTGTGTATGTGTGTGTATGTGTGTGTGTGTGTGTGTGTGTGTGTTTTATTACAACACAGAGTCTTGTTTATCCCAGGATGGCCTTGCTATATAGCCAGAGCTGACCTTAAATTTCTGCTCTATCGGCCTCTACCTCCCCACTACTAGAATTGTAAGTGTGTGCCATCACCAGGTTTACATAGATCTGAGGATCCCTCTAGGGATTTATGCATGCTAAGCAAACATTCTTTCAACTGAGTTCTGTCCCTGGACCCCAGAGCAGTGTCTAGGTTAGGATTTCTAAGATTGCAATGAGGCTATCTCAAGACAGTGTTCTTCTCTGTATGAAAACAGGCCACAGGGGACAAGGCCTGGAGTCAGGCCATGACATGACTAATAAGGCAGAGTGGCATCATTACACAGAAAAACCTGGGAACAACAATAACATACACAGAGAAGCCTGGGTACGACCGGAAGATGTTGCGGGTAGAGACACATATATGATCTATATCCAGGAGGAAATTGATGGGCTGCTGACCAGGACACATCTTAGAGCAAACTCCACTTGCAGAGGAGCATAGCAAGGTAGGCATTGCTTTACTAGCACAGGCCTGCTTCACAGGGGAAGCTGGTGTGCCAAAAGGTAGAGCAGATATGGGGGTAATGTGAGGGGCATGCATAGTTTCAGGATAGTGTCTGATGGTCACAGTTCCTTCTCTACTTATCTCCTATGTGAACACAGCGATCCTACCCAGAAAGTTTTTCAGAGAGTACCCCGTTTACATCAACAAACTATCTGCAAGTATTTGTTGGGCATCTCTAGCTTCCCTGAGGATCCTGTGGACACTGAGACCAGTGACATCCTACCAAGGGGAGACGGATGAGCTCACAGCTGAGTCACTCTGTGTATCCTGTGTAGCAGGCTCAGAACTTCTCAGACAGGCCCTGGGGTCTGAAGTGATTAGGGTTTTTGCCACTTCGGCCCCATTCCTCGGCTTTCCTGGTAGACTCCAAGCTTTCCAATCCATGGTTCTTCATTCCAAAATAATACCGGTTTAGGAGGCCCTGAAAGTATTTCCTGCTGGTGCTGAAATCCAAGGAGGGGAGACAGGAGATGAGTTCCAGAGTGAGACAGGTCCACCTCCAAAGTTCCTCCTCCTCGCCTACCAAGGAATGGCCCAGAAAATGCTGTTGGAGTGAAAACTCAAGCACAGGATAGAGGAAACACCTGCATCTTGGGCCTCGGACATCTGCTTCTTTCTACACCCTGTGACAAGATTCATTTGAGACCCCATCTTGGTTCACATTTTCTTTCTGTGTGGCTCCATCCTCCTCTCCATCCTTTCCCTCCCTTTCTTACCCTCCAGACCACACAGAACCTGTAGTCATAGACAGCGGTAGGAGAGACCACAGGCAGGAACAGTGAAGGGCATGAAGCAGCAGGGTAATTACCTGATTATTTTAGCTGCCCAGATGCCCCCAGCTCCCCTTTGTTGGGCCTCAAAGTTGCCCCGAGCAGAGAAGTATCTGTCGGAATTTGGGTAATTGGCTTCTAGATTGTCCCGATAAGCTCTCCACAAGTCCCAAGTCCCTACAAAGGAATGATGTTACAAAAGTGAACCAGGAGATAATTGCAGAAGTGGAAGAATGCAAACTTTCTGTGGATTTCCACATTTCAGCCCTTGACAGCATAATCCTTTGGAATGGTCCGTGGGGGTGACTGTATGTCCCTGGGGAGGGTTTCCCTGGTGACCATAAGGAGGGCACTGCTCCATGGATTAGACTGGGTCGGACAGATTGACAGTTGTTGAGTCCTGGGCTGTGACATATATGGACCTGTGTGTGCTCTGCACAGAGAAGGGGTGGAAATGTCACATAAGGGAGCTAACAAGGACAAAGACATCCCAGGAGTAAGACCCAGGGACATTCTGAGATGTGAGAGAAGATGAGGAATGCACTTTAGCCAGGGCCATTAAGAAAAACACAACCATTAAGAAAAACAAAAATCTGCCTTTCTCATCATGGTAACAAAATCATTGAGATGCAACTTAGAAAGAGGGCTTTGTTCTGGCTTACACTTTGAGGGGGACACATGGTGGTGGGGCCATCAGTGTACACTAAATTATAAGTAAACTCTCCTGTCAAAATACATGACAGTATGCAATGTTGAATTACTAGGAGTTCTACATCCTTGCTCTTGACTATTTGTCTAAAATAAGATGGGAATTCTGTAGAAAGTGCTATCTGTAGACATTTGCACATTTACTAAGCTCATGCATCCCTGGAGACATACTGAGTGCCCACTTACACTATGAGTGGGGAATTTGCTCTCTGTGAGTTCCCTCTGTAGACAACACTCTCTGGAATTCCTGATCCCTTTGGATCAGCTCAGCAATACAGGCTGGATCTTGTGAAATCTGTCTGAGAATCCCATAGAAGGTGACAAGAGAACAGTGTAGAAACAGGAAGCCACATAAAGCCACCCTCCTGCCCTGACTAATTTTTACTTCTTTAAAGGTCTATCTGCATTGAACAAGTATGTGACCTCACAGGGCATCCCTGGAACAGTTAAATGTGCCCATCATCTCCAACTTCTTACCTTGTATGGCTTCCTTGAAGAAGGAATACCAGCCATCACTACTGACTCCCATGAGCAAAGAGCAGAAGACAAGGATTGTGACAAGTCTCATAGTGCTGCAAGAACAGAAACAACAGTCAAACAGACCCACAGATTGGACTTGTGGCACACACCTTCAGTCCCAAAACTCTCAAGGCAGAGACAGGTGAATCTCTGATGCTGAGAACAACCTGGCCTACTAGGCAAGTTCTAGATCAGCTGAGGCTACAGGGTGAGACTGTCTCAAATGAACAAAGACAGAGCCATACTTTGCCTAGTAAAGACATTCTAACCCTGCATTCCATCTTCATCTCAGAATCACTGCTGCAAGGACAAGAATAATGGGCTTTAGGACTCTCTGCCAGATCACTGCATAAGCAAAAGTTCCAGGGAACTGTGGCCTGCAGCCCATTTGTACCAGTGATGCTGACTAAAGCTGATGAACAAGCCTTTCCTAAGTCCCTACTTACACAGACCACAAAGATACAGAAATGCTGGGGCTGGAACTCAGTCCATAGCCTGCATTCATATAGTATCTGTGGCCCTGGCTTCCATCCCAGCAGCACTACACAAAGCAAGCCCAGCTGCACGGGCCTGTGTTCCCAGCACTCAGGAGGTGGAGGCACAAGGATCAGATGCTTACGGTCATCCATGGTACAGAGCTGTTTTCAGGCCATCATGGGATACTTGATTCCCTATCTCCAGAGGAAACCATCAGAAAACATAATTGTTCCCAGTTAGAACTTACCAACCATATATGAAATGATCTCAGGAGTACAGCAAGAGCAGGAGTCCCTGGAAAAGAGAGACAGTTATGTCCTCTTTCCCGCCTGAAGTTGCAGAGGATGTATGGCTGCTCTCTCCTGACTTTAACGTTGATGAGAAGAGCACTGTTGAGTCTAACAAGCCTTGGCAGAATCCCTCTTGCTCAATCCTTCCTGGTAAATAGTTACATGCTGGACTATAGTTCACTGATAAGAGTGTTTGTCTAGCATGCGTGAGACCCTGAGTTCAATACCCAGCACCAAAGAGAGAGGGGGGCACATTGAATCAAGTGTTTCCTTGTCTATAATAGTTTTTTTCTAAATTACAAAAAAAAGTTTGTGTTTTGGCAAGTTTTCTTACTTCCCTTCCCTAATTTCCCTGAATGAAATACTACAAGCTCTAGGCTGAAATGAACTCTTTCTTCCCCAATTTATTCTTGGTAACAATGTTTCGTCACACTAATAGAAATCCTAACTAAGACGAGAACACATTTCTAAAGGGTCAGACTCCTAAAGACCATGGTCATGTTCACTGTAGCTGCTCACAAGGAATCCCTGTTACTTGAAACAATGCACACCCAGTCCTCAGTTTCACGCCTGTTGTTGTGATGCAGGGGGTGACAGGATTGGAGTGAGACAACTCCTCACACCTCATCTGGACAAGAGCAGAGAGAAATGAAGGCACCCATGCTGCCTGCCTGCTGCTGCTCTTGGTTAGCTTCCTTCACTCTCACACAGTTAGGGCAAAGCACATTAAAGGGAACCACTCATTTTCAGGGTGAGTGTTCCCGCCTCACTTAAAGACAACCCCCACAGACAACTACACAAGCCAGTCTGGTCTAGGCAATTCTTCAGTTGACACTCCCATCTCAGGTAATTCTAGGTTATGCATATTTGATATTTGAAACTTACCATCTTACCCAGCTCAAAGTAAGTCTGTATACATATTTGCCAACTAAATACATGGATGGACCTAACTGAAGGTTCTAAATATTTCCTTGTCCAATGTATGATTAAATGACAAGTAACAGCCAAGTGATCAGGCTAACCCAGCATTTAGGATGCTGAGATAGGAGATACATGAGCTCTGAGCCAGCCTTTGCTACATAATGAGAACCTGTCTCAAAAAAAATATTAAAAAGGCAAAAAGTAGGCCGTCGTGGTGACACATGCCTTTAATTCTAGCACTCAGGAGGCAGAGGTAGGTGTATCAGTGTGTTCAAGGCCAGCCTGTTTACAGAGTAAGAGAGTACCAGGATAGCTAGGGCTACTCAAAGAACCCCTTTCTCAAAACAAAACGGGCAAGTATCTCCATTTGTCTCAATCATGAAGCACATTAATTAAAGCCATGAAATTATCTTTCATGGATAAGGCTGGAATAATCAGTCTCTCTCTCTGTCTCTCTGTCTCTCTCTGCTGGAGACTTAGGTAGTTGATGGGCTCAGACTCTCATTGGCTGAGTTGATGCTCAGACACAGAAGAGGACAATCTTTGCTGAGTCTATGAATTCGGATGCTGATCTCACCCAGAAACAAACCTACACACATACTGGTGCTCAATCTGGACACATGGCTTCAGGACATGATCCATTTGGTGAACAGCAGTTCCCTCACATTGAAACACCCTGGGACTTAGTTCAATTCTACATTCTAGAGACTTGGGAGGCCTTGAACTTTTGGATGTTTGATGACAGGTTTGTGGGTGTACATCTGTACAGAATACTGCTGCCTTCTTCTTTCTCCCTTTCTTCCCTTCCTTCTTAATTCCTTCCTTACTTACTTTTTCTTCTATTTGCTTAAACTACAGATGTTTGTTATTATTAGTTTTCCACTAAACTAAAAAAACAAATATTTTGAAGAGATGGGTGAGGAAACAATAATTAGTGCATACTGTGGAACATGCTCTGAAGTTGCTGAAATAAAAACCAAATTAGAAAGATACGGAGATGATGCATTAGGAATAGTCAGAAGATACATATAGCCAAGACAGGATGCGCTAATTTGCTGGGGTTTTTTCACTATCAGTTCCCAATGCAGAAACTAAGCTTGTGCTAGGAAACTCTTACTGCATTTGTCTTGGAAGCAGATACCCAATAGGACATATGAGACATATTAGAGTGCTATGAGAAGATTTATTTTTTGAATATGTCAAGATGCCTGAGTACTGTTGTAAGTGTGGGGGTGCTGGTTTCATAACTACACTGAAATCTTTTCATGGAATCAGTCCACAGCAGCAGCCAGTGCTGTTAGACCAGCACAGAGAGCTTTGGATGGACTCCCAAACTGTGCTCTGAACAGAACACTGGGAAAGCAACCTGTAGAGCACCAAGGATTGTCGGTGATGTTGGCAGGGTTAGCAGGGAAAGGTGGACAAGTAAGAGCATGTTACTAGGGAGAGGATCCTGGGATGCTGATTCTGGTCACTGAATGAAGCCTGTGCTCTGAAAGCCAATCCAAGTGAGGGAGCTAATTAAACGAATATTCAGAACTCTGGACAGAGGGAGCTAAAAATGATCATTAATGTCTCTGAATAGAGGCAATAGCCTCCCTTCTTCACAGTTTTAGGAGCTCCATGGGGTGGCTGATACTCAGAAGCTGGGATGACACTCTCCACCAAAGATCAAGTTGATTTTAAGGTGAAGCATGGGGATGCCTTGCTGGTTTTCCCCAACATGGCTCTGTCTACTCTTCAAAGCAGTTTGGACAGAAGTGTCAAGGTGTCTAGGTATGAAGAAAAGAGAAATGTTGGCCAGTATAGATAGATATGGATATAACATATTTTTGAAATACCTCTAAGAAAAAGTGTTTATAAGCAAGAATTTGTTTTCAAAGTTGACATCCAGCATGCAAATGTGGGTGTTGTGCCAGGGACATGACTCAGTGTTATAGCACTTGCTTCGCACATGTGAGGTCCTGAGCATTTTAAAACCATATGAAAAACAAAATAAACAAAAGCACATACATAAGTACCTGCAAGCAAACTCTTCCCTCAGCAATCCTTAAATACAGGACAGTTTCACCCTAAGGAGTGGGATTCATGTGTGAGAGAATCACAGTCATCTCATTCCTTCTGTCATGATTATGGCCCATCCGAGGAAGGATGTTGTGGCCCAGGAAGAAGAAACAGTCTATGCCCAAGTTCACTTCTCTTAAAGAGCCTGTAAAGAGTCTACAGACAGTCTGTAGGAGTCAGTCAAGGACCAACCTCCAGGGCATAGGAGTCCTTAGCCAATGCTATGACTACTCTAGTTTTCTACTTCAGAGCTCCATAGGCATACATTCTGGAGATTGGTACACCCCTTGGAAAGATGGGAATTAAAGGATGTGTGGCTTAGTTTGGAAGAAGGCCATGGGTCGCAGCAATCCAGCTTCAAGCAACAAAAACTGGACATTGTCCCTACGGTACCCTGCCATGCTTATCTCCAAGAGAAATCCTGTTACAAAACATCAGAGAATCTGTCCAGGAGAGGCCATGACCCTGAGTTCCCATCATAGATCATAAAAGCTAGCCATGTGGATTTGGAAACAGCATAGTCCTGAGGTGACAGGCCATTGGTTCCTTGGGATCCTAAACTTGTAGTGACTTCAGCTATGCCCTAAACTGATACTGTGGGAGACAGTCAAAGTCCTGGGAAAGATGAGATAATGAATAAAGGAAGGCGTGGGATGCAATGGGCCCATTTATGTTCATTCACAATCCCATTGTGATTCACAGCCTAGGAAATTATGTATCAAGGAATCCATGCTTATGTTTTCCTGCCACTTGACAATTTCCTCCACCAGCATGTTCACCTGCATGTGCACATTGCTTAAAGAATATTGTGGGAAGCTAAACACTGAACTGAACTCCTGGAACCCAGCGACAGAGAGGAAAGAGTGATGAGCAAAGGGGTCTGGTGAATCCCAGAGAAACAGCCAACCTGAACAAGGAGGAGATCTTGGACCCCAGACTTATGCCTGAGAGGCCAGCATGGGACTGATCCAGACCCCCTGGATGTGGGTGTCAGTGAGGAAACTCTGGCAGTCTATGGGGTTTGGGGGCAGTAGATCAGTATTTATCCCTGGCACACAAATGCACTTTGAGGACCCATCCCACATTGAGGGATGCTTTCTCAATCTGGACACTTTGGGGAGGGCCTGAGGCCTCCCCAGAACAAAATGACAGACTCTAGGGATCCCCCATGGAGGGCCTTACCCTCCCTGGGGAATGGAGTGGGGGCTGGGGGACAGGGAGGAGGGAGTGGGCGTGGAGGGGAGGGAGAGGACTCTGGGACTGACATGGGAAGCAAGCTGGTTTCTAATTTAAATATATAATAAAAAGTGTAAAAAAAAAAAGAATGTTGTGGGGTGTCTACCAGGGAAGACTACCAGACATGGGTTTAAGCCAACAAAAAGTATTTATTAAAAAAGGATGTGTTGGTGCACACTTTTAATATAAGCATTTGGAAAGAAGACCAGGTGGATCTCAGTAAGGTTATGAAAACCTGATCTTCATAGTGAGATCCAGAGCTATATAGTGAGAACCTTTTTTTTTAATTATGAAGCTGCTGGACATTTGCTTAGTTTCTTATCGGCTAGCTCTGACTTAATTATTAACCCATAACTGCTAATCTGAGTATTTCCACGAGGTGTTCTCTTACCAGAGAAAGTAGTATACAAGTTTGATATGCATGTGGTGGTTCCAAGTTGTGAGTTGTGTAATCTGAAACTGTGAAATACTTTGTGCTTTGGTAATTTTTTTTTTGGTTTTTTGAAACAGGGTTTCTCTGTTTTGGAGGCTGTCCTGGAACTTGCTCTGTAAACTGGGCTGGCCTCGAGCTCACAGAGATCCACCTGCCTCTGCCTCCCGAGTGCTGGGATTAAAGGCATGCACCACCAACGCCCAACTGGGTCCGGACCTTTTACTCCTTCGGAGTCCTACATCATGACTGACTGTGCCTCTGTTCCCCAGAATCCTCTTCGACTCCTGGTCCCACCTATCTTGCTTCTCTACTGGCCAACAGTGATTTATTTAATCAGCCAATAAGACAAGCACATATACGTAGAAGGACTTCCCCCATCATCTCTTTTCTGCCTAAATAAAAGGAAAGTTTTAACTTTAACATAGTCAA